AAAAAAGGAAAAGGGGCAGGAGAGAGATAGAGAGGGAACGGTGTGTACATAATCAGAGATTGTGCCAAGAGTTGAAGCGCAAATAACACCCCCCCACGGAAGAACGGAAGGAGCACCGAGAGAGGGTGATGAGCTAATATACTTGTTGCCTCTTTCGCCATAGCCTGTTTTTTTGTTTACTGCATGTACACAGAGAGAGAGAGGACTGATTCGCTTTTGCGCACTCAGAGTAAGTGATAATATGTCTGTGTGAGAGAGTCCCCTATGCCATCTTGACCCCCGAACCCCCCCATCCAAAATCAACTACACACCACGCCCCTTCTCCGCGTTTACGCACCGCCTGGATATCCATGGCCACAATCCGCGCCACCTTTTCGCGATTCACCCACTCGGCAACCGCATGCCCAGATTCCTGACTATTCAGTCGCCACTTGACATGTTCTTTGTCTTTATTCTCGCGCAGCCACCGGAGCAATTGCACAGGCACAATGCCTGCAGGCATATTCTGCAGACTCTGACTATCACTCGGGATCCAGCCTTGGAAAACATTAACGTAAGTGATGCGCCGCCACGAGTCGTTCCAGTCCGGACCGGGGATTCCCTCTTGCGTGCTCCATTCCTCGGTGCTGAGGCCAGCGTCGACGCCAGACCTGCCACCGTGGGACGTCAGTGCTTTGAGCCAGAAGCACCCTTCCAGGTCTAACCACTGTAGCGAGTACGTGTCTTTGGAGAAGCGCCGCATGATGTTGGTGGCTTCGTGCCAGTCGTCGTCGAGGTCAGAGTAGAAGTCGGACCCGCCTAGCGAGACGCTCGTGTGTCGCGAGATCATCGATGTCGTCTTTGCGTTCGGCGTCATCGACGGCCGAGGCCAGTGGGCGAGCGACAAGTGTGTGATCTTGTTGAGGTTCGGTGAGATGCGGAGTAGTTCTGGCCAAGACGCCCATGGCCCGGGGTTGGCAAGAGATAGTCGACTGAGGTTCACAAAGAGCGGTACGTGGAGCTTCGCAGCTGGTATTAGGGGAGCTAATGGTCCTTCATCTGCTTCTTCTTCCCACGATTCGGCCAGCTCGTCCGTTACACTACGTACTTCAATGCTGACATGGACTGGCGCCGTCACGTTTGGTCGCTTGAGGCACTTTCCAACATCGTGGAGCGTCAAGTTTTCACTCAACAGCCTGGACAGGTCCAAAATTTGTACCTCTTCACAGCCTGCTGTTCCCCCGTCTTCATTCTGAAATAGTATCTTTAACGATTTGAAATCTACCCATCCTGGCTCCCCGTACACGGTCAGGTAGCTCAGCAAAGACTCCTTAAGCGATGCCGGTAGCGACGGAATATAATGTTGCTCGTATTCGGAAAGCCCCTGCCAGTGCAGCGCAAAAGTCCGTAGGCATTGGTGGGCAAGGCTTCGAGGGTGCGGTAGGCGCTGTCATGAGTAAGAAGCCTGAATTGCAACATTAAGCCTGGACGACACTCAAACGCCAGCGCGAGATTGGGACGAATGACGTCGTACCTTTCTTCCCTCGTCCGTGACTCGAGCCAATGTGCCAAACCGAGCAACGCTCTCCTTGACCTGTCCCGCCTTCTTTCTTCCGAGCACAGTACCGTGGCGGCTCGTCTGCAACCAGCTTGTGGGAGCTGCGGGCCCCGGTGGTGGTCTGGGACCTCCGTTGGCGCGGCGCATCCTCGAGTTGGCCTTTGGTTTGGGAGCGTTAACTTCGGGTATGTGCAGAATGCGCCGCAGTTCCGGCGGAACGGTGCGGTTGCTTACTACCAAGGTGAGTTCATCTCGTTGTTGCGGGGTTGCTCGCGGAGCCTGTTCGCGACGGAGCTGTTGTATGCGCTGGTTGACCGTCTGGGATTCTGCGGTCGAGGACGAAGACGAGGTTGAGCGGGAGCTCTGCAGCGAAGGGTGAACATAGGATGGTTTCGCGGTAGTGTACGAGGGCGTGTGCTTCTTGGGCATGGCGCCAGGTGGTAAGGACTCTGTGTGTAGATGCTGTGCGGATAGAAATGTGTGATATGCTGCTAGCTATACATAAGCGGGGTGTGTGAGCACGATTGGCACTGTGAGTCAGGCAGGTATGACTGGATCAATGAGGATTTTGTGAAGGAGCATAGGTCCACAGGCGCAGCATCTGCATGGAGCGACGGCGGTGGTGGTGATGGGTGTGACTCCAACTGGGTGTGAAGAAGAGATGACAGCGGGAGAGCTGTTTGCTCGTCATAGTGCCGCCACCTGGACCCTCGGCGTGTAGGTGGTGTACAGTACTGTCTGTACACATATGCGCCTACACACGTGCAGCAACTACAACGTCGAACATGGCCATGACGGTGGGCTGGGCATGTCTGCGCCTCCACGTCGAAATTCGATGCATTTTGCACATGCCGTGTCGAAGGCGTTGAGCGGCGGTGACGTTAGCCAGTCTCGTCTTCCAAGAGGCTTGTGGCGCTAATGGCGACGGGCTAAGCCGATATATAAAAGCCTCTCATGCGGCGGGGCCATCGGCCCTTGTATTCTAACTATCGCCTGCCTGCCCCTATTCAGAGAGCGCCGAACACGACTGGCTTACGCATGCCCTCTGCACACGCAGGGAATAGGGCCAAGGACGTGGCAAAAAGACCAATGGCAGACATGCAACCCCCAACCAGTGCATCGAGAGCCGAGACCGACATGTGCCTAGAGGAGCAGTGAGGGCGTCGCCTCTCGAGATACCCTCAGTGCTCACCAAACAAAACGAAACAGCCCAGGAAGCCAACCACGCACAATCAAGCGTCTTATCTTACTCACATGGGGGGATACTTCCTCCCGCTGCCTGACACATCCGCTTCCCTGCCAGCTGACGGCTGTCGTAAAGAAAGAAAAAACTCTCTTTGTACTGCGCACCTACACATCTAGTACACATGTACCTAACTGCGTAGATTCACGAGCAGGCCCGGCGCCTTGTCTGGCTTGGCTTGTGCGACGCCATGCCACGAGGACGAAACAGCGGCCAGCGCCCATGCTTAGGGCTAATTTTATCTTCATCAGCTACAGTGGTAGATCCCCGCCCGACAGCATCAGCCCTGGTGGAGCCTCCGCTCAGACCCTCTCGTACCCGCCTTCCTCTAGAGGCCGTTGCTCCTATCTTTTTTTTCCCTATCCACATGTCAACTAATACCGCGCCTTCACGATGACATGATCTGCTTCTGCACACCACCTTCGTTTCCTCCACCCACGCCCTTCCCTTAGCGATGCCACTACGCCCTTGACCAAACTTACTTCAACTCTACTTCCCTAATACGCCGCTCGCTATAGCCCACACAACCATGCACTTCTCACCCTCGCGCATCGTCATAGGCTTTGCCGTCTTCATTGCTTTTAGCTTCATATACACCATCAACTCCGTATCCGCTCGCGACCCGACCTCCGTCTTCTTCGATCCCAACAAAGGATACACTCCGCGCTATTCCGCCCTCAGGCGCCAGCAGGCCGAAGCCTTTGTTTCCGCCTACAACCCCGCCACCGTTGTCAAGGCCGGCCCCGAAAAGCAGAGGAAGCTGTGTGTCGGCATACCCTCGTTCAAGCGCGACGGCACCCAGTATCTGCCCGATGCAGTAGGCTCTCTCCTCGAGGGCCTGACGCCGGAAGAGCGGAAAGAAATCTACCTTATTGTCTTCATTCCCCACTCCCGGCCCGAAATACACCCAGCCTACAATGAGGCCTGGCTAGCCGGACTTGCCGATGAAGTCCTCACCTATGGATACGGCTTCGACCGGATGCAGTACATTCGCAATCTCGAGACACAACACAAGATTGACGAAAAGGGCATCTTCGACTACAGATACCTCTTGGACAAGTGCAGAGAGCAATACACGCCCTACATTGCCCTTTTCGAGGACGACATCGTAGCTATCGATGGCTGGTACCACCGCACCATTGCCGCCATCGACGAAGCAGAGCGCAAAGCCGCCCTCCAACGCGCCAAGCCCGACTTCCTCTACCTGCGCCTCTTCTACACGGAAGAGTTCCTCGGCTGGAACGCCGAAGAATGGTCAACCTACCTCAAAAACTCCATCTACGTAGCCCTCATCCCCACCGCCATCTTCATCTTCATCCGCTGCTTCCAGCCAACCACCAAGTTCTCCATAACCGTCGTCACCCGCCGCACCCTCCTAGCCACCTACGCCGTCCTCGCAATCATCATCCTGCTCTTCTTCGCTTTTGGCCGCATAACCGTTCAACCAATGCCCCCCGGCGTCCACGAAATGCCCGCCTTCGGCTGCTGTGGCCAAGCTTTCGTCTTTCCCAACGTCAAAGCCACTGAAATTGTAGAATACTTCAAGGACCGCCATCTCGGCTACATTGACGTTCTGCTTGAGGATCTCGCAAATGAGCGCCACGAGCTGCGTTATGCGATCACGCCCAGTATTGTTCAGCACGTTGGTCGCACCAATTCTCATCACGACGATGGTCTCATGAGCAAATGGGGACTCAGTGTTGCTGAGCGCATATGGAGTTTTGCATTTGAGAAGTTTGATTGGAGGGCTCTGCGTAGGGAGCATGAAACGGTTGCCAACTTGAGGCGGCAAGCCACCATCGGCACGACGGGGATCTAAGATATGCACATATTTGTTTGTTTTTTGTTTTTTGCACTTTGGTGGAGAGCACCTAAAATGGCTTTTTTATGACGGCTCGATTGTGATATGTTTTTTTGCTAGATGGAATTTTCTAGGGGTTCTTTCTTTTCGGGGTTTTTTTCTGGCATTAAGGAGTTGAAGATAATGTATATACCCCCCCGACATGGTTAGATAATGCATTTTACATACTCTTACGATTTGCCTTCTTCCTGCTTGCTGTATTGCGTTCTCTGGAATGAAGTTGCTTTTTTCTTTTCTTTTCTTTTCTTTTTGAAACGCAGATGACGTCGTGTTTATGCATGCTTTCCAGTTAATCTCAAAACGCAATCTAGGTAAGCTGAATCTGAGCATGGCAGACTGCCACTTGGTAGACGAAATTCCTTGGTCTCGTAAATATCTTGTCCCTTCTCATTATTGGTATTATCTATATAGCTCTTTCATGGATTTTTTTTTTCTAAAATAGAGGACTGTTAGTTTAGGATAACTATAGGAAAGATTATAACTACACGTAGATGGTTTTATCATTTTTTATACCAAAGTAGTGTCGTATAGCTGTGACATTACCAGATTTCAGACGCGTTATCGATTTTAGTACGTAGGTATCCTGCGCCGAGTCCCAGAAACTGTGTCTACCGGGTGCTAAGTAAGCCAGTCTTGAGCATGTATGCTGCTTCCCCGTTCAATTATCGTGAAAATCAATACATTCTATGCAAAAAAAAA